TGGATGTTTCAACAACAATTATATAATCCTTGTCATTGACCATATATTTGAGTTTGTGTTTGAGTTTTTCAATTTCACTTCGTATATTATTTAGTTTCACAGTAACTCGATGTAATTCTTCTCTTAGACATAATCTACTGACATTTTCGGCAGCTGATGTTATTTTGCTTGAAGTAATTGGAGTACGTATACGTAAATATTTCGGAATTATATGATTTTTTAAACATCGATTGTTAAAAATCCGATGATTTGTGAATCTTGCTTCAGTGTGACAAAGTCGTGTGAGTTTGTTGATAAGCTTCCTGGTAGGAAGACCATATGTATCATTGATATAAGAATAAAACTTGTGCACTGTGCCAGAGTGTAATTCCATTATGGGTAAATTTTGTTTTGATAAAGTCTCATATCAAGGATATGATTATGAGCAATAAATTGTGCTCGAAACGTCATCAGTAAATATTACTGTATAACACTGTGAGACTTTATCAAAACAAAATTTACCAATAATGAAATTTTGTTATGCTTTTTAATTTTTCTTATCTTCCCTTTTGTCGTTTACAACGAGATAAGCAGGTATGGGCCGTGCTAAATTAAATCACTCGGCAGAAATATCAGTCCTTAATTATTAATATTATTTGTCTGTGTAATTAAAGTTCTTTATATTCATAATACATAAGAATTACAAAAGTGACACTATGCAGCAGATAATTTAAGGTGGAAATATATCAGAGATTCTAATTACTGGTTTTCTACAACGAAGTGAACAAAGGTATATTTATTTTGGTTCTACATTGATATGTGTATAACGTTTTAGAAACAGTTGGCTAATCTGATGCGTTGGTAATTTTACAAGATGTATTTAAAGAATCAGAATTCCATCCTTATTCTAAGGATGATATATTTTTGTATATTAAAGATAAGAATGAAAAAGTAGCGCATCTAAACATATTTAATCGGGCACCATCGGTAATGAGTTTTACAACTTAGAAAGAAGATAATTGTTATAGTTCACCTCTAGGTGGAACATTAGAAAGTAGTTTATGTAGATATTCAACAACAACAACGGACCACTATACTAACATTTCGAGTTTTGTACAATTTGAAATGTAAATTCAACCTAATAAAGTGTCTGATTCGTAAAGATAGAGTAGTCTCCTTAAATCCTTCCCTCATCAAAGACTTTAATATTATCTAAAAAAGTACTCAACACAAATGGATATTTATAGAAGCTACTTGATACAAATGGGAACCTCCTACCTACGCCGTTAGCAGTCTTAAAGAATTTATTCATTCCGAAAGTGTTTGGTCTTAGGGAAATTATTAATTATTTTTTAACGAAATCATAACGCAACGTTTAAGGAACAACTTCAACAAACAGTAAATGAAGCAGAATTATTGAACCTATTTGTATTCATTTAAACAATTAAGGATAAAGAACCTAATTGTCCTCCCTTTCTCTGTGCATTTACTAATTTAACTGCTCTTATATAGGCGTTTTCATTGGGTGTATAATTAAGTAGGTTCGTCGTTAGATACCTTAACGTCAGCATACACAGTTAGAAAATAGTCAGACAACTAGATTCATAACTGTATCTTCGCAAATCATGCTGACAGTTGACACTAACGAAGTATTTAGAGATATTTTAGTTGCATTCCTACGAATCTTGATTTTGCATTACAAGTCCTCATTAGCAGTCTTTTTGAGAATTTTGATTCGTTTATATTTCTTACATTCTGTATCATCATACTGGCACTTATTTTATTACATTTTTCTAGTTTTCACGACATGCAAATCCTAGTCATAATAATCACTTTCTTGTAGAGCACAACTAAAGTCAATGACAAAATATTAGTAAGTAAATCAACAACTAGGTGGTGAGTTATTTCGCATACAATGACAGCTAGTGATATTATCAAGAAACTAATAACTGGATCGAATAACCACTAGACATTATTTACGGCTAGTAATTAGACTGATAGATAATCACTTAATTTTATTTCATGGAAAATTCCCATTGTAACATATAGAAAATCAAAACAAGTGATTTATTCAGCAAAAATACTCTTTTTTCAACGAATTTATCATCAAGCTGTACAATCGTATATACATGGCTTTTAAGAAGTTATATCCGGTGAGGGAATTGAATCTTAGGTGTGAATGCATAAAATAATAAAAGTAGTACGAAATGCAATTAAAATATTTGTGATTACAGTCATAGTTAAATGTCAAGCGGCAAAACATTTAATGTCAAGTATAGAATAATTTATAGGAAGTATAGAACTTGGAAGGAGTGTGTAAATCGAATAAAATAAAAACGTTACGTAATACTGTGTGAAATTTGGCAACATAGAATTTAACGTTGCGAAACAGAATCGATTTAGAATGGCTTGTGGAACAAGTGAAATAATACTGGGGACAGTTCAAGGTGAGAATAGTATTAGGAAGGAAGAGTATACAAATTGAATAGACAAAATGAGAAAAAATTGGCTGAGCCAAAATATGATTAGGGATTACCATACTTTAGCATAGAGCGATTAAGATCATGAAAGTTGGAGGGTTGAACGAACTTTTTCTGATTCAATAGCCAAAGTTGTAGCAATATAGATGAGTTGGGTACGTAGTTATTTCGGTAAATTACTTTTTTGCCTTTTAGATGACTTTAAAGGCGGAGGCTATAGAGATAGTGTGACCATTATCGACCAGATGTTCAGTGATCGCGCTTCTTATTGCTTCACTTCCAACTCTTCGTAGCTATGCAGGATAGTGTTCTTGCACCCTCTTGGACAAAACTTGAGACCAATATACCTAGTTCCACATCGGTAGGCGAATTGATAAACGCACATAGAGTTGATCAACAGCGGGATCTTGTCCTTCAGGTTATTGAACATCAATGGTTGACTGGTAAAGGCTATTCCCGAAGAGGAAGCGGGGAATGTTCTTTTCAGGAACTGTGATATTCTTCTTTTTATGATATCGGAAACTAAGTCACCTTTGAATTCCAATTTCATGTACAGTATTTTCTTGGGTGCAGATATTAAGTCACGTTTCATAGGATTTAAATGTATATTTTTTTCTTTAAAAAGTGGTGGAAATCCATTTTCTATTAGGATTTTCCTCAAAAAGTTTAACTAATCCTCCACAGTATCAGGGCTACATATGCGTCGAATGCGAGTGGCAAGCGACCGGACCAGGTTTCCGGTTTTTTTAATATATATATACTTCTAGAACTACTGTCTGAATACACTTTCTACCTCACTCAGTATCTTTTCCTTAAATTAATTGGTCTAGGAAAATAAGCTACGAAACTGCTTAAATTTAGCGGCTGTAATACCTTACTGCATTCCTGAACAATTTACTTACAACAGTAAATTAGTATCAACAATACATTCCTAAATATCGATGTTCAAAGTGTAAATGACTACTTATCAAATGCGAAGTGTCTAGACCAATAAGTCATAGTTTTACTAAAATGATCGTGGTCTTATACTGAATGCGATGACTGAAGTGTACACAAGATAAGTAAAGTCTACAAAGGCAACATTGTATGAAATCACTGACTGTTAGAACAAAATGTATAAATGACTCTGTTATCCCTCTAATCTAAATATCCTATACCATTAATATCGATAATCTAACTTTCTAGCTTCTTACGGGTTGATGAATTTATTTCTCACCTTAAAGTAATTAACAGACATGTTCATTTTGTCTTGTGGCTCCTCACGTTATATATACATATATATATATATATATATATATATATATATATAAATTCGCTTAGTTTTCGCCTCTGTTTTTCTGATTCTTTATTGTTACTCCTTCTTCCTATATCTCTCCTTTCACATAACTGACTTAAAACTATCACGAAACTTTATTTGTCTATTGCTCAGTTTTTGTTATCGTTGTTGTTGTTGTTTGTACACGTGATCACTACAGCAAGAGACTTGTGATACTAATTCAAACGGTTGATAGATTCATTATTGATTAAGCCTACAGTCTAATTAATTCACTCAATAATAAATACTATGAAAAAATAGGATAATATTCATATCGAAATCAATATAGATATTTTTACGAATGTGCATCAGTTAGAATCTCATTGAGAAGAAAGAGTGGAAGGCCTAACTTTAAACTTCCCCTAACACCATGTTATACTAGATCAAGTATATACACCAAAATAAAATCTTTTAGTGAATAGATGTAATCACTGGCACATGGTTTCAACATCTGACTGGTTATCATTCACTGTCATTATCCACAAAAAATATCATCATTCACGATTAAACTGGTTCCACTCATTGTATTTTCTCAGGGGCACTGTTGGGGATAGTGGTGAATGGAATAATACACAGAGTGGTTTTTATATTTACTGATTTATGATAATAATGTCCTTCGTGACAATTAATACCTAAAATATTATAATTCAAGTTTGATCACGAGCTGACATCAGTTAGAAATGCCACTGGAAGACCAGAAAGTACTTGACAGATATGTCCTCCTAGTCTGGGACTATTCAGCAGTACGCAGCAACCGAAATTCGAATAGAGGATCTCCCAGTTAAAAGGCAAGCTCGTAGACCATTCAACCGCTAAGACAAATCAAGACTACCTATGGGAGTATGTATACGAATTTAACGATGTTTTTCTTGTTGAATTCAAAGTGTGTTTGTTCGGTTTTGAAGCAGGCCACTTCTTCAGTGATACAGTTATCCAGAAAACTAATATTTGCCTCAGTCACAATCGTTTTGATGGATACAAATGTTTTTAAATATGTTACAATCAAAAAGGAAATCCGAAATAAAGATAGTTAACTAGAACGCTAGTTAAAGACCCGCTGATCCCCTCGACCACGCTCCAGCGAGACAATATCAACTCAAAAGAAAAACACTTCTAAGTCTCCTTACTTAACAGTTTCATGCATTAAATCATAACCATTGTATTTTGTTATTATTTGCTAATAGTCTTGTTTCCTTTGTCCTTTTTTCTTTTTTTTCATATAATAGAGTTTGCTTGGTCTGTAAATGTTTACTTTAAACCAAAAGATTACACAAGTGCATGTTTAATACCAAATTGTAATGGATTACATTATTTATGTTTAACCCGTACAGAAATACTTTTAATACAGAAAAATTTACGTATACCTAAATTAATTATCTTAGTAAGTTGAATAATTATTTTAAACTTATATTTTCTCCTTCAGTTATTATATTTTTATTTGAAGTAATAAAATTGTTAAACAGCTGTGAATTTATTTTTTCGAGACAGCTTTCATTTTCCCATCGATTGACTGAACCAAAATGTTCGACCACTGTTGACCTGTCCGCTTCTAGTACGGGTGCTTCGACGATATTCGAGGATTAACATGAAATAATTTGGATGATAGTGACTACTACTGGAATCCAGGATGCGCATTTCGTCCTGCCTACAGCTCGTCAGCTGGATGTACCTGTATTCCCAGCGAGTAAAAGTGTTCTTACTAAGACTTGAACTTAAAGCCCTTAGTTTCAAACGACAAACGACTCGACCCCTTGGGCCATTGTGAAAACTAATATCCTTATGCACTAATATAATGATTACAAGACGAAAGGACAATAAACTCTTTTGTAATATGATAAAGAATATTTACAGTTTAGATTATGAATATTTTGCAAAAACTTCTTTTTGCTGTAGAACGACAACAACAACTCCATGACCAGTGTTTAAGCTTCTGCCAACAAGATGTCAAACTCATCGGGAAATAAAACTATCAAAAAAAATCACTCAACTTTCTTCTTCAGCTTATTTCGACTGTTACGTTGTTGTATTGTTATGCACTTGAAGTTTATTGACTTAAATCCTTAAAATAATACAAGGCATATCTAACTTATTTGAAAGCTTAATAACAAACTTGAACATTTAACTGTTAAGTAAGATTACCTGATTTCAAACATTGTCGTAACTATTTCTGCTTAGACAATAAGTTGACATCACAGCATCCGACGTACATTTAGTTGATAACAATAGTTTTAAACGTTTCTATTAAAACTTAGTGGATGCACCTGTACAACAAAGAATTCACTGTCACTATTATACTGATAAAAAACAAATTTTTGGTGATAAATCACATCTTTGTGTGTATAAAAGATGCGTTTACATGAGGTTGAAAAACGTGTATATTCATCAAACACAAATAGGATCTTTAAGGAAATAATACTTGAGGAACAATCAGACACTGTGTATTTAAATTATGGCTGGACAGAAATCTCGATGACTGAAGTGAAATGAAAGCCCTGTCATCAGTAAATATGCCCACTAGCTTAGTATGTACAAACAGCAAGGGTATTTGGTTCATATATTTGTGTAATCTAGATTTGTATTTGAATTCCATCTGATTTTGCCTCAGTTCAATCATAAAAACATATTTTTATGAAATAATTCAGAAGATTTGTAGCTCAGATGGATGATAATGAATTAGTTATGTCCTCTGAGCTGCTTGATTTAATTGTGAAGCTCTCGTCATTCATGGAGAATTTGAATAAGTTCATTTTATACTAAAACCTGAGCTAAAGATGTTCCTAGTCATCGCCTTCCTCGACGGGCAATGTTAGCTGATATAGGGCCAGGCTGGAAAAGAGCCAGCGGCGATCAAACGAAAACATGGCACCAGTCAATGAAATCCACAACAACTAGTCTAAGCCACGTAGGAAGGTGTAGACTTCCTGGTTGGGGTCCTCGGGACGGTAAAACCAGTGGTTGGAAATAATTGGTGACATGGCTCAAAATCGTTCTCAGTGGCGCAGATGCATCCATTCCTTGTGACTTATGATTTCCAATGAAACTGTTTTGTTCTTCGTTATTACTAATCCTTTGTCTCACACCTCTGTTTACTGTCTATATTATGCATTTCTTCTACCTTCTTCTCTTCCTTTGTGTGCTACATGGAGGGAGTGTGGCGACTTGAACTGCCGCACATATGTGCAAAGTTCTATGTCGAAAACCGACCGACCTGAAGATGTTCCCTAGAAGGAGGACGAAAGCTCCACACTTAAATCAACCAGCTCAGAGATCGCAACTAATTCAGCATATTTTCATATAATATCAGAGTGTAGATACAATGTTTTAATAACATTTTACTCTTAATGTTGCATCATTATATACATGGGAGGCGAAATAAAGAATTATGAAGTAAGAGAAATTATGTGATCGTCAGTGATGAAAAATGAATAAATGATTTAAACTCGTGATAATCAATAACATCTCTGAGATTTATTGAAATACAAGACGCAAATGTACCTGTAACACTCCAGATAACACACAACTATATCGTTTACACACTGTAGAGAAATTTTTATAGTTGCTATATAGATCGCATAATAAAAATCATGATATTCATAGATGAATAAAGTATCTTATTTTCATCAACTACAAGTTTCTACTCAGCACCTACTCTGTACAACGTAATTTCTTAGACTTGAAGATGCTTACAATTATACATACAATAACCATCTGAACTTATTAAGTAATATATCATTAAGTGACACTAATTTGTTCATAATGATTCAGATTTTTTAAATATACTATTGTTGTGTATCCAAATAGAGTCTCCTCAGAGTATGTCAGTAAAAAACGTTGAGAGTACGCTTTCCTGACATTTCTCAATTTTGGAGGATACACTTTCGAGCTGTCTAGTAAGCGAAACTGTACTCCCGTTCAGTATGTATATACATATATATGATGCCTATTAAGTCATATGAATTTTCCTCCAAAGACTAACTGAGCCTCGCGTTTCGCTGTCAGAACTTCTCTAGATTCGAATCCACTAAACTTGTCTTAGCAGTCAGATGAATTATTATTTTCCCTTCAGTCAAATCATAATCAAAGTACTTCATTTAATGAGTGATTAATCTACCCCAGTGATTTCTTGATTGTCGAGAGAAATATTTCAGCGGCTCTGCATCTTGCAAATATGTTTTCATGCAATCAAAGTGTTTTATCCACATATCAAGTAGATTTTTCCTCAGCATTAGGATCATAACTGTGATATTGAAATCCTTAAACTAAAAAGTATTCTTACTTGCTAGTCGACTGCTTATCAGTAGATAGCCTCTAAATAAACTGAATTAAGTCCCGGTGAAAAGCTGTGGCCAATGTATTCCATAAATCTAATTGGAAAGGTAATAATTAGTATTGATGAGAATAAGTTATTTCATAAAAAACAGAAATTACAAATACAAAGAACTGTTGTTGGCTTTCAGTCAAGCTAGAGTTTTTTTAATTCGACAGCCTTCGATTCACTCCTTATACTGAGGAATACCTAACTAAAAACATGAACATCCGCCCAATGTAATACACATGAGAGAAGTGATTTATCATCTATTGAAGATAATTACAACATTCTGATTCAAGTAAAAACGATGGTATACTGCTGTACAGAATTAAGCAACAGATTCTGAAAATCGTGTGATTGTTTTGAAATGATTATAAGAAACAAATGGGCTTGAAATACAGCTTGAAAAATTAATGCTGCATTACTGTGTGCTGCATCAAATGGAAGTGGTTTGCTTAATTCGTTTTATTCTTGTCAAAATTCTGCTTGTTCATTGTTTTCTTATCTCATCATCGCTAAGTTTATGCTTGTGTTATTTCGCTTCTGCTTTTTAGTATAGATTTGTACGTCAGTGTGCGTCACGCAGAGATGGACAATTTCGTATATACACTGGCCGTGCTTCACCAACTGGTGAATGTGAAATTGTATTCCAGTTAGCTGATCATATAGAAGCTGCATATGCTCATGAACAATGTGCACGGTATGTTGTTTTCATCATGCATGCATACACTGTTTATTCTAGTGAGAGGGTAGCTAATCGGCTTAGATAACATCCTGGTAATCACTTATACTAGGGTGACTAGTCTATATTTGTACTGAATTTTGAGCCGTCGCACATTAAATGAGGCCAAAAGTTTAGTACAAATGTCACTGTATGGTACAATAGTACATTATATATTCTATTTTATTGTTTAATTCACGTGAAACTTTCCATAGAGGTGAGTTAATCTTATTTAATTTACCACAAAACACACGAAATTAGGAAACAAACAGAATGATACTACAATAGATAAACGTGAAAGCGATGGAGATAATTATAAGCTGAAAATTAAAGTTGGCATAAAAGATAACTAGGATGAATACGTTTACACCTCTGTGGACAATTCCAGCCCATCTCACCAAGAGCCCTCAAATATTGGTTCTTAAAAATCCCACTGACCATAGTCAGACTTGGCCAGACTTTCTGTAAAGAGCTCGTACCAGCTGTCACTGACTTATTGGACTGATGTCATTTTTACGTCTGAATACTCTTATCTGTTTGTTACTTCACTCGAATTCAGTTTCTTACATTTACTGTGTAAGTGTAGGACAGAACAAAATTCTATGAAATATACACCGTTTTAGATGAATAGTCAGATGTCAAACTTGTACCAAAGATAACATCAGCTGGTGAACGTTAAACTAGTGGAATCTTCATATAAAATATAACTAACGTAACGATCTGTAGTTCTAATTAGAGTGTCACGTTTAGAAAACAAATCACTGGTGATATACATACTTCTCCTGAGATCTGGAAGGCCCCATAAATGTGTTACCCAGTCTTAGCAGCACTAAATAAAATTTCATTAAGCCAGAAGAAAACCTATGATATCCAGGTCAAGATGATACTAATTTTCAGAGCAAGTGAGTGATGTACGAAATTTAGCCTATTTATATTCCTTGGTATATTCAAAATTTTTGATGGTTTAACTAACATTCAGTGCGTCAGTGGCACAGAGTTAGAATGCTCGCCAACCACACAGGTGGTTCGGGGTTCGATCCCCCGGTAGACGCACTCCTTTATCTCACTAACATTCATGTCATTATTCTTGATCGTCTCAAACCCATTCTTTATTTGTTACAACGTCAACACATTTGTACTGTGGAAAACTCCAATAACCTATCTTGATACTTTTCTTTACATGAGATATCACAATGGCCTAGCTGTGTTTTCTAGTATTCATGTATTTCTATCCCACAAGTTTATTGCACAAAATGATAAAAAATTATTAAGACTTTTTTACTTACCATTCACTCTTAAAATGTTGGCACGTTCACTGCTAATTCTCACTGAAAATGCTGACTAACATATCACCGAATGTATTTAAGCTGGACACAATTTGGACTGATCATTGTAAACACCTATCAAATATCAAAGTCACACAATATTTGACCAGATGCGACACATTTCAGCAACATTCTGACATGGTGCTATTTATTCATACTCTAACAATTTTTTTATTTTCTTACTCATGAGTTTTCACTTTGATGTCGTCTTTAGCGCTATTTCGGAAACAAATGAATTCGGCATATTTTATGAAAGTACTATAGGGCCTAGTTTATTCTACTATTCATGTTTTGTTTTGGTGTTATATATACACTAAGATAAATGACAGAGTGATTCGCGTCGTTATTGCTGATCTCGCATAGAATGTGAAGTCTGTGTGGCTGAATCATTTTTTGACTGGACTGTGCATACAAATCAGTCAAAGTCAGACTTGAATGACAAATTAGTCAGAAATGTGTTTATCGAAATTTTTAAGCGACAAACACCTCTGGCAATTAACCAACCAAAAATCTATGGCCCAGAAAATATGCCCAAGAAAACAGACTGCGAAGACCACTGAATGACACAGCATGTCAGGCCTTCGAATGAAACCGTAACAACGATAGACAAGTTGCTCTTGTATCCAAGGGTGATATAAAGAAGATGAAAGCTTATGGTCAATTGTGGAGACAACTAAAAAGTACCTCAGACAACAGAGTAAAATATAGATATGTTGTTGAAGCTCTATGTTACACTTGGAACCTAAAGAAGTAATAATAATAATAAATTCGTAAACCAGTTGACCATTAAACCCAAATCTCTAAAACAGTTGATATATTAACCACGATGAATTCATTTCTTGTAGTTTTCAATACAATAGTGTCAGAAAATAACCATGTAAACTAGTGAAACAGATAAGTAATTCATCATTTTTCTACCTTCACCAACAGTTAGATTTAGTTTAACTTTAAATATTATATATCATCACGAGCCAACGTCAGTTAGAGAGATCAATGAAAACCAGGGAGCACTGGACAGTTGTTTCCTCTCATTTTGGGATTATTTAGCAGCTCGCGCGCACGATCCCACTAGGGATCGAAACTGATACCTTCAGGTTACAAGACGAAGTTCGTTGACCATTCATTCATCCACTTAGGTTGGAATTTAATGACCCGTGAATTCTAACTGCTGTCAGTTCATGACACAGTGGATCCCATTGGTTACAACTTCTCACTACAGCTTCAAGACATCCATGCAGTAGGCATCAATGAGCTGGAGATTGATATTTAAACTATGAAATTTGTGGAGATTTGCCTTAATTTAATTTCACTTGTTAGATTTCATCATGATCATTGAAAAACAAGTTTACCTACACACAAGAGGGAAAGTCTGTCTAGATATGATAAATTGATCAAAAGCATATTCTGATGGAACTTTATTTGCATTTGTTATCAGATTACTCTTCATCTCAGTTTAATCCCTTTCTATCGTCTGAAGTGAATAGGATACAACTATATTTTGCTCATAGTATTTAGAAGTACATACACATATTATGGCGTCTATTTGTGAAAAGTTAATTGCATGCAAAACGCGCCAGAAGAGGTATAGTAATCTCGGAAACAACAATAGCATTAACATTGTCGCATAACCAATAACAACTTCACTATTCTAAGTATCCTGACTATTGCTATTATGCAATAATTAGAAGTGATCTAGTTTCTTACCATTTGCATCCAATATATTAATGGAAATTTTTTCTCTACTCTTGTCTGGAAACAGAACAAAACAACAATTTTATTTTTGTTTATGTCTACGTATGTCTATCCTAGGGATACACGTATGTCTGTCCACAAATGTCTGCGCAAATTGTATTTGTTTATGTTGTTATCGTTCTCCAGACAAATTTCCCATGCATATATATATATATGCATAAATGTAGTCGAATTCTAGACATCGGGAGATAAATTCTATGCCATCTACAATTGGGCCAATCCAAACTGACTCTTTGAATAAAGTTTCTTAGACACGTGCATTAGTGATATAAAAATAACTTTTTAGATTGACTGTTGATATAACCACTCTATTTGATGCTATCGTTAATAATGCATAAAGCTTTAGTATAAACAAACTTCTTGATAAGAATTACAATATTGATAGAAATGTATACGCTAAAACTCAAAAACTGGGCAGAAACCTTTGACATATACATAACTTCCATTTCTGACACATTACTTTAGATATCTTAAGCATCTCTTCAATATTTTTTCGTTGTGTAACGTACCTTTGAATGACATTACTTGGCATTCATACTCTATCAAGAATTATTTGAATGTTGAGAATGATGAATTGTCACTTCTTCAACTGGTTTCAGGTATCATTCTTTACTTGACAACCTGAATTATTATTATTAGTGTTCGTTGATGAGGAATCATAAACCTGGAAGTAAACAACTTCGTTCACATTTGTCTAACAACCTCTTATTCTCAGTCGTTCAGTGTTATTACTATTCTCTTGGGTTCCGAATGGAACAAAAGGTTTCACCAGCAAGTCTTAATTTCATCCTGCTTTCTGTAGTCCTCTTCAATAGTCTCCTCGACGGGTTATAAGCTTTCATCTACTGCTGACATGACCTCCTCCATATCAACCTCAGATGCATGCCCAACCTGTTGCTTCTTATTCGGGTTCCCTTTGAAGACCTGGCACTCACTGGTCTTCTCAGTGTGTCCAATACATCTCCATTCTCTCCTGCATATATTTTGGGCAACACTTTCTTGGTTGGTTAATTGTTCGAGTTCCTTGTTTTCAATCCTTCCTGGTCATCTGTTCTTTAGTAAGAAGCGGAAACAGCTGTTGAAATATACGACCTCTTTTTGACTTCTGCCGTTAATTGTGATTGGTTCTTGTTGTTGTTGTTGTTGCTTAACTACATCACCTCTGTCTTTTCCATGTCTACTTGTAGTTTTGACTTCACTGATGCTTATTCTGCCAAATTTGTGGATTTTGTCTGTAGATTTTTGAGTTGGTTTAATATTAAACATAAGTTGTCATACGAAGTCCAGGTCTTCTAAATGCTTCTGGTCAACCCAAAGAATTTTCGTCTTCTCTATCCACAGTATGCTGTATAATCCAGTCCACCACAATTAGGAATATTATTGGTGATAATTGGCAACCTTGTTTTACTTCTATCTTCACTTCAGAGACTTTGCTGAGTTTTCCGTTGTGAACCACCTCGTAAGTGATATCGACATATAGCCAGCTTTCTAATAGGGTTGATAAACGTGTGGGGCACTCCGTAGTGTTGAATCAATTTCCAGCTCACTTGCATGGCGTTGCAATTTGGTCAGTAGTTGATATGATTTTGCAATGCAAGTTATTTCTTTGCGAAAACCTACTCATCTCAACAAAGATAGGCTTTGGAGAAATAAAAGAAACTTATCGAATCTTTATAAATTATTTAAAATAATGACCCACTGGGTATCGAACACAGGACCTTCCGGTTACAAGGCAAGTTCGTATACCATTCAGCCACTGGAACCCGATTTAATGGCTAGTCCATCAATCCTAACTTCCAATTTGTGATTTTAACGCGACCACAAACCTATGTCATCGGCGGGAACTCCCTCCTTACTCCCAACTGGATGGACCCCACTGGTCACGACTTCTCACTAAAACTC